CCAGGTAACTTACTCCATAGTGGGCTGGTGTGCTGTAAAGACCTGTTAGCTCCACAGACCCTGTATCCCCAGCCTTACGGCCTGAGGGTGGGGCTCTTTCCTTGAGGTGAGCATGATTTTTTCATCTGCTTATTCTGTCCACCCTGTGGCTCTGGTGTAGACCGTCACTCCCTCCCTCTCCCCAGGGAATCTCTGCTGCTCACATTTCAGCCCTGCCTGGCCCAGATGAGCACAGCTGTGAAAAGCCCTTCCAACTGTGATAAAAATGGGCTGGGGCTCTGTCTGACTCTCTCCTTCTTCCTTTCCCCAACAGGATCCCAGTGTGTTGGCTGTGAGGGAAAACCGAGGTAAGGGCAGCGCTCTCTCTCCCTCTTTGTCCCATAGAGGCTGGACACTGCCAACTGCTGGCTCAGTCCTCATTCTTCTTCCTGCTTGGTCGTGTGTGTGTGTGTGTGTGTGTGTGTGTGTGTGTGTGTGTGTGTGTGTGTGTGTGTTTCCCCTTGAGGTGTGGTCACAGCTGGAGCCCACATTTCTTTCCACAGATCTTTTTCTCATTAGTTTTGCTAATAACCAGTTCTTATGGTGTTACTGGGAGAGGATGATGAGGTAGAGGCATCGGCAAGGATGAGTTTATCCTTCAATCCAGATGGAAAAGCTCAGCTCGCCCTGCTGGGTTGTGATTCTTCTCCTGGCAGCCACGGCCCTTTACACTTCCAATTTAGAATGGGACTTGGGAGATGGGAGGAAGGATTTTTCCCCAGGATTCTTTCCTTGCTGCAATTTTTAAGCAGATCCTCATCCTAAAAACCATTGTCACTGGCTTCCTTCCTTCCTTCCTTTCTTTTTCTTTCTCTCTGTCTCTCTCTCTTAACTTCCTTCCTACCTTCCTTCCTTTTTTTTCAAATTTTATTTTATTTTTTCTTTAAATTTTTAAATTTTATCCTTTATGTACCTTGGTGTTTTGCCTACATGTATGCCTGTGCTAGGGTGTTGGATTCTGGAACTGAAGTTACTGATAGTTGCGAGCTGACATGTGGGTGCTGGGAATTGAGCCTTGGTCCTTTGGAAGAGCAGCCAGTGCTCTTAACCACTGAGTCATCTCTCCAGTCCTGTCACTGGCTTTCTTAAAAGTGAATGCGTCTTTAGACTTCACAGACCAATAAATTGTCCCCTACAGTCTTCTAGGAACTAACATAGTTCTTTATCTCTCTCTCTCTCTCTCTCTCTCTCTCTCTCTCTCTGTGTGTGTGTGTGTGGGTGTGGGTGTGGGTGTGTGTGTGGGTGTGTGTTGGCACGTGCATGGTACTGGAGATGTACAAGATTGTTAAGTACTGTTTATTGTTTTTTTTTTAAGATTTTTGTTTATTTATTATGTATACAACATTCTGCTTCCATGTATTTCTGCACACCAGAAGAGGGCACTAGGTCCCATAACTGATGGTTGTGAGCCACCATGTGGTTTCTGGGAATTGAACTCAGGACCTATGGAAGAGCAGTCGGTGCTCTTAACCTCTGAGCCATCTCTCCAGCCCCCTGTTTATTGGTTTTTTTTGGGGGGGGGTTGACAAGAAAATCCTTTCTTGAAAAAGGATGTGTTTTTATTTTATATATATGGCTGTTTTGCCTGCGTGTAAGTATGTGTGCCACATGCGTACCTGATACCCACAGAAGACAGAAGAGGGTGTTGGATCCCCTGGAACTGGAGTTACAGTTGTTAGCTGCCAGTATGGGTGCTGGGAATCAAACCCAAGTCCTCTAGAAGAGCAGTCAGTTCTCTTAACCATTGAGCCATCTCTCTAGTCTCAGGAAAAGATTTTTTAAAAATAACATTTTAGCACTAAATTATGTTAAGTATCTATGTTAGACAGGACCACATTTAAAGCTGGGCATCTCTTGACAAAGGCTCAGGTATGCTCCTGTATCTTTCCTATTTCTCCACAGATGGGTAAACTTTGTCACAGCTATTAGAAATTGGATGGCATTTGGGGATCACTATATATCAGCTGTCCTATATTGCTAGTGTCATGGCAACAAAATGGCCCTTGTTGAGTCCTAATTGAGTTTTCTCTCTGACCCCTGCTCCTTCACAGAGAAGGTGGTAGAAGCCTTGACAGCAGCCATCTTGGACTTGGTGGAGCTGTACTGCAATACATTCAATGCAGACTTCCAGACGGCAGTGCCTGGCAGTCGAAAGCATGATTTGGTTCAAGAGGCCTGCCATTTCTCTGGGGCTCTGGCCTTCACTGTCTATGCCACTCACCGCATTCCCATCATCTGGGCTACCAGGTAAGTCAGAGCTCTGGGGAGACAGATGAGCTTGACTTCCTGGTATCTTCTCCCCTTCTGCATGTGACCTTACTGTCTTCCATCTTAGTGTGTGTGGCCTTCTGTGGCATTCTGGTACAATGGGCTCAGAGGATGAGCCTAGTGCCTAAGGGGAGCCCAGCCAGTATCCATCCCAGAGAGAGAAAGTCCCCTAGGAGATAGATAAGCACCTGCCAGTCCCCCCAGTGCTGGCTGCCTCAACATCTCTGCCCCCTCCAGATCCAAAGCCAGCTGAGGGAGACAAGTGACAGATGGCCAGTTCCCAGATAGAGTGTGGCCCAAGCCAATGGCTGCACTCCCCTGCAGATGCACAATGAGGATGGCAGGGAGGGGGTGACCCTTTGTCTGGGGTTCCCTTGCAGGGGTGGATGGAGGAGGACGTTCTTTTGGTAGTCCTCAGCTCTTCTGCTGGATCCCCAGAGTCCTGAGGCCTGGGGGAATAGGCATTTGGCCCCATCCCACCCTTACCAACCCCTCCCCCTCCCCTCCCTTCCCCTTCTTTCTTTGTTTCTCACTTAATGTATTCCTCTGGGCGATTGGCGTAGAACAAAGGAGGCAGCCTGGGAAACAGGGGCCTTCTCTGACCTCTTCTGTCAGGCACCTGTCATGAGCCACAGGGACCCCCATGTGTAGGCATTCATGGCAGCATATGTCGTTTTCCTCCCCCACCCTTCTCGCCTGCACTCACACACACACATACACACATACACACACACACACACACACACACACACACCCGTGAGCTGGAACTGATTATAAGGAAGAGGCTAGATGGCCATTCCCATGAAAAGAAGAAAAACTCTTGTATTGAACGTGGGCCTAAAACTCTGGGGGTCCAGGGATCCAGATCAGGTTGTTGCTCCTAAGCACACTTCTGTAAGTCCAGCTTGGTTGTCCCGACCCTGACCTCATGTTGCATTCTCTAGAGATCAACAGAAATCTACTAGAGGAAATGGAGATTGGCATTAGGGTGGGTTGAGATTGGCTTTAAAGAGCAAACTATACTGACCTGCTTTCGTTCCTTTGTAGCTATGAAGATTTCTACCTCTCCTGTTCCCTCAGCCATGGAGGCAAGGAACTATGCAGTCCCCTGCAGACCCGACGGGCTCACTTCTCCAAGTATTTGTTCCACCTCATCATCTGGGACCAGCAGTAAGTCCGCCCTAGGCTGCAGGATGGCTTCAGACCAGCCTTCTGACTTCAGCAAGGTCCTGGAGCCATATTCAGACCTGGAACAGAACACAAGCCTGGGTTAAATCAGGTTCCATTACTGTCCTTACCAGATAGGTCATGCTGCTTCTTGAGTCTCCATTCCCCTGACTCTTACATGGGATATAATTTTTACCTCTGAAGTTGTTAGGAACATCCAATGAGAAGTATCGCTAAAGGCTCCTTATAATCTATAAAGGATCATACAAATATTCCTTGCTAATTTTAAAAACAGTTTATTGTTTTGCTCATGCCTCTCTTAAAGAATTAACTGGTTGGTGCACACACCTTTAATCCCAGCACCCAGGAGGCAGAGACAGGCAGATCTCTGTGAGTTCCAGGCCAGCCAGGACTGTTTCACAGAGAAACCCTGTCTTGAAAACAACAATAAAAAGAATTTAACTGGTCTGTAGGATTTCTATTCTCTCTGTTTCTCTCAATATTCCCTAGAATAGGCAGAAAGGCTAAGCTAAGGTATAGCTCCAAGTAGTATTTGGCTAGCATATACAAGGCCCTGGGTTTCAGCTCTAGACAGCATAAAACTAACAAACAAAAACCACACCTAAAATCTCAGCACTTGGGAGACACAGGCAAGAGAATAGCTATAATTTTGAGGTCAACCTGGGCTCCATAGCCAAGTTCTAGGTCAACCAGGAGATCCCATCTCAAATACACATACAAAAAGAATTGGGCTGTCCATTATGGATAGAACAAGGAAAGGTTACCTAGAGGGAGGAGGAATGGGCATGGAGCCTGAGGAGAAAGGCTGTTTCCAGCTCTCTCTCTCCAATCCTGTGTTCTCTCTAGCCTGTCTGCCTTAGCCTTTTGACCTTTTTAACCTGGAGGTGGGTGTGGCATTGAAGGGAGATAGACAGGTTATAAATGTTGATAGCCACCAGCACAAGATGGTATCATTTACCATTTATTAACAATGATTTGGTTTCAGCAAGGAAAGCTTCAGCCATAGAAAACAGAAAAGACATGAGGGGTGAGGGGACCTTGAGGATGGCTTTGCAGGTCTTTGTCTCCCAGTGCCTTGCCTGTGCTGTACCCCCTTGCTTGTTGTTGCCCCCACCACCACCCAGCTTCACTTCCCCAGGCCAGCTATGTATGGGTCCTCATTTACAAAGCAGCAAATGCAACTTAAAAGTGTAGAATGCAGATCACAGAGACAGAGACCTCCCTGGGGAGGTCAAGGATGCTTCAATAGGTAGATGAAGGGTCTGGGTATTTTATAGATGGACTAGAGGGGAGGCAGACCCTGTCGTCACACTTAGGTCATTCTTAGAGCAGTAACAACGTACAATAGCCACTAACACTCACCAGGGTAGGAGAAACTCTCTGGAAACAAGGGAGCTGCATTAAATGGTCCCTGAGAAGCAGAGCGTGGTGCTCAGGGCTGTAAGATGAGCAGTCAGGAAGCTGAGCAGAGCTGCTGTGAACTTAAAGCCAGCTTGGACTATGTAGTGAGACCACCGTCTCAGTGCAACCTGGGTTCAGTGCAGCACTGCCAAAGCAAAGAGCCCTTGAGTTTCAGTATTCCATGGAGACTGTCCATCCTCACTAGATTGCTCTTTAGAGGTGGGTGCTGGGGACCTTTTCCCTGACGGAGTCAGAGATACGATACCAATGCAGCCCAGTCTTCCATGTGGGCTGTCTTCCATGCTAAGTGTGAGAGCTTGATCCACAGGGCCAGGTCTCTAAGGCCTAGAGCCATGTGCAGAGCATTGCCTCAGCCCTACCCTCCCTAATGTCCCTAAGAGGCTAAGACCTCTTAACACTTCTTCATGAAGCCAAGGCATGGGGGAGAAGGCACAACACTGTGGTCAGGGCTAAGCTTTGGGCCAGCATCTTCAATAGATGATACTGTAGACAGCCTAGACTGGAGGAGAATCGACCGCTCAACAAGATCTTGAAGAGTCATTAGGACACTAAGAAAACAACTTGCTTGGTGGTAGAGTGTTTACCTAGATTCATCAGTACCACAAAAATGAAACAAATAAATAGGTAAGTACCTGGACAGCTAAGCATGGTGTTTGCACACCTGTAATTCAGCACTTAAGAGGCTGTAGTAGAAGGATTGCTATGAGTTCAAGACCAGCCTCAGCTAAATAACAAGACCAGGGAGGGATGGGGGGATGGGGTGGGGGAAGAATGAGGACTTAGCCCAGCATCTAGTGCTTAGTAAATGCTCACTCCTTTACGGTCTTCATGTTAGTACCTCAGCCCTGATTTTCTCAGTTCCTGTTTCTCTGTTCCAGGTGGCTGAAGGTGGCTAATGCATGGAGAATATTTGTGTGAACATGCTATCTATGTCACAGCACCCAGTTCAAGTATAACTAATGCCACACAGCAGAAAGGACCCAAACTATAGTCCCCGATTCCCGTAGTGAGCATGTCAAGCTGTCAGTTCAGTTGTCCAAGATTGTGTGGCCAAGCAGGAGCCCCAGCACTTTCTCTGGAGGAGGCAGCCCCAGTGTTTGAAGAAGGGCTCACAGAAAGTAGAATTTCTCAGGCAAAGAAAAGAGTCAGCTGTCTGAGAGAAGTTGACCAATCCCATGCAAAGGGTTAAGGAGGCCATTTTAGAATCCCATTTGGAATTCTGGGAAATGGGAGGCCTTGCTTGCTTCTCTGTATTATGGTTTCGGTCAAAATGCCCCTCCTCTTCTTTCCTTCCTCCCAAGATTGGGTCTCATGGAGACTCAGATGTTGGCCTTGAAATTCCAGCAATACTCCTGCCTCGGCCTCCCAAAGTCTGGGATGATGGTCAAACCATGTATCAGCCACGTTCTACTCTTCCCTGATGTGTGTGTGACCAGACCAACTCCTCTCCCTGGCTATGGTGTCAGCTGCTTCTCCCTCTCACCGTAGCAGGATAGGGCATCTGCTCACTCTCAAAATAGGCCCAGGAGCCCTGCTCTGTCACCTCCAGCCAAACCTAGGCTGACATGTTTGTTGGCTACTGAAGGGGCCCTAATTATAGCTGTGGGGCCCCCAGGGTAGAAGCAGCTGGGGCAGACCTGGAGTGTGCCAGCCTGTGGCTGTTCAGTGCCTCTTTTGAGTGGAGACTTCCCCCAGGAGTGAGGGGCAGTGAAGAGGGAGGTGGTCTTATCTGAAACCTCTGACCTTGGGGGCGGCTGCCCTGCCTCTGTGCCCTTTGGGTGTAGAAGCAGCTGGGCCTTGGGCCAACCAGGAGGGTGTGGCAGTGTGGACTTTGGCCCAGAGACAGCTTCCCGGAAAGGTAACCGGGTGGGTCTTGGCTTTCTTTTCCCCAGCCCCCAAGCTCTAGCCACCTCCCCACACCCAAATCTCCTTAGCCTGAATTCAGAGGGTGTGGCTGGTGTAGTCCAGTCAGGGCAGACCTGAAGAACATCTGGCCTTGAGGAGTGCTTGCTTTCATGTGTCCTGTTGCCTTTCTCAGTCCCAGGGAACTCTGAAAGTCCCCTTATCTTCTTGGACTTTGAACCTATTTGGGGGTATGCCCCTGGGGGCTAGGAGAGGGGCCACAAACAGATGAGAGGGCTGTGGGGGGAGGGCAAGCCGAGTGCACCAAGGCCAGAGAACTTGGTACTTCTTCCTGGTGACTCTGGGATGGCACTGGGGAGGGAGAGGGACTATTGAGTTGAAAGGAAGACCAAAGGAAGCTTTACTGACCCTCTGTGAGAATCTTAATGTGAGAAAAGGAGCCTGGTACAGGACAGGATAGGCAGTCACTTGGACAGTGAGATGGCTTTGGCTAAGCAAGTTCTGCCTGGGCCCTGCCTGGAGTCAGGAATTCCAGAGACATCTTTGTGGGTTTCTGGGAGTCTATAGTAGGAACACCCAGAAGGGGCCCTGCTTACTTTGGGACCTGTCCTGGTTCAGTGAGAGGCTAATCTAGGGACATATGTGACACCTGAGACGAAAGCTGATTCTCTGCGTATACTTGACTTCCCAAGTCCCCCAGCCCCAGAAGGCTCTTAATTTTGGTTCCCCTGTTTCCTAGGATCTGCTTTCCAGTGCAGGTGAACAGGCTGCCTCGGGAGACCCTGCTGTGTGCAACACTCTATGCTCTGCCCATTCCGCCTCCTGGGAGTTCCTCTGAAGCCAACAAGCAGAGACGGGTGCCTGAGGCTCTGGGCTGGGTCACTACCCCTCTCTTCAACTTCAGGCAGTATGTGAGCCCCAGGGGAACAGCTTCTGGCCTTGGAAGGGAACTAGGGGGATGGAGTTTAAAGTCCAGTTGCTACACTCAATGCCTCCTGGGAAGGGCTGGCCACATGGAGCTCATTGTGAAGTCCAGGGGCCCTCAGCCCTAGTAGAGAAGCCAATGACAGGACTAGAGACCAGGACTACTTATAGAATCTGGTAGGTGGGGGAGGGGGCATGGGAGCTTTCTTCAATGGGAGCCTTCCTAGAGATTAGAAGATCCATGGTCTGTGGGGAGAATCAAAGAGACAGGAGAGGGGAAGAGACTTCAACTAGAAAAGGTTTGGGGACAAGAAAGCAGCAGAGGAATCCCCCTCCACACACACACACACACACACAAACACTCACACCTACATTTACACAGTGGTTGTTGGCTCAACTTGCTCTCCTTCTATCTCAGAGTCTTGACCTGTGGCCGCAAGCTTCTGGGCTTGTGGCCAGCAACACAGGAAAACTCCAGTGCCCGTTGGAGTGCACCTAATTTCCACCAGCCAGACAGTGTCATCCTGCAGGTGAGACCCAGCCTATCTCTCCCCATCCACCTATCACACAACACCAAAGTCAGCTTTGAGGCCCTCATTGAGATGTAGGTAGGAACTGCAGACACCCGGATGAAATGTGACTGAGCACCCCAGGGAATGAATGGAATAGTTATCTGTCCACATTTCACCTCATCCTCTGAAGTGAGGTCTGAGATCTTCTCCCCACAGGGCTCCCTTGGTTTGAGCCCTCATCCTTCCAGGCCTTATTCAATCAGGTGCTTCTCTTGGGGCCCAAGAAAAAGCATTCCCACTAGTCACTCAGGGGACCAGAAGAAGGGAGAGAAACTGGCTCAGTCCTAGTTGTGATTCCCCTTTCCCAAGCCCGTGAGATGTTGTGGTATGAAGCAAGGAATGGCGAAATTGACAGAAAATGAAATAGGAGTATACAAATGCATACTTCCAGAGGCAGGCGGTTTTTGTTTTGACCCTGTCCCCAGGGCTTAGGGAAAAACACCCATACATGCCAGGGTGCAGTGTGCATTTGCTGAACAAGTGGGAACTCCTTGGAGAACTGCATCTTTCAGCTCTGATGCCCATTTTGGAAAGGATATATATTTGGTGGCACAGAGCAAAAGATCACAGGCCTTAGAGTGAATAAAGCCTTCATCTGAGGTGTGGTTCCAGATCCTTACAGGCTACAGTGCCAGAGGACCACACTACGGGGTTCCCAGCTTCAACCTGGGCCCTCTTGGTGGTTTACCCTAGTAATACCTGTTCAGGATTTCTGGGGGTTTGCAGGGGCTTATCCTGTCTTAACTGTAAGCAGCTCAAACCAGCCTTCCCTCCCTTGTCCACGTCCCCTGTGTTTCCCTTTTTGAGAGGAAGGATTGAATGAAACAGGGCCTCTCTGATTCCTGAATGGCCTAGAACTTACTGTGTAGATCCGCTGTCCTCAGACTTACAGCAGTTCTCCTGCCTCAGCCTTTTGCAGCGCTACGATTCCTGGCTTAACCCACCATGCCAGGCTTCCTATGGTTTCCTTTCAATTTTTGCCAAATGTTACACCTGGGACTTTGGGGATCACCATGGACATGTGGGTTATTTTACTCGTAGCTTCGGGGCAGGGGTGGAAAGGATTGAGACAGGAGCATTGGGGTTTGAGAGAGCTGCTGGGGATGCAGGAAATGGCTGCCTCCACTGATGCTGCCTCCTCTCCTCGCTGCTTCTGCTTCTCTCATCCTATCCCAAGATTGACTTCCCCACCTCGGCCTTTGACATCAAGTTCACCAGCCCCCCTGGAGACAAGTTCAGCCCCCGCTATGAGTTTGGCAGCCTCCGGGAGGAGGACCAACGCAAGCTTAAAGACATCACGCAGAAGGAGTCCCTATACTGGTGAGCCCAGGACACCTCCTTTGTGACACTGTCTGTCCATGTCTGCCTGACCTCCTAGTATCTAGTCCCTGCCCTTGTGCTTAAGGACTGTAGGCCATCGGTGAGGTAGTCATTGCTACCACCTAGGCAGAAGGTGGTGACAGCTTCCAGGCCCTTTCCCTCCCTTGTTGACACTAGGGAAAGTGTGGATAGGGCAGGTCAGGAAGTGAGATACGAGAATGTCCAGCTCCACACTAGTGACCTGTCCCTGACACAGCTACCAGGAGGATCAGAGCTTTGCCGCCACCCCATAATCATGTCTCCTACTTGTTGTCTGGTGGGGCAGCTGGGTGCTGTCCTCACCTCCCTGCCCCCACCACACCAACAACAGCCCTTGCATTTTTCTGGCCTTGTCACATTCTAAAAAGGATCAGGTGTCTTGGCAAGCTGGCAGCTCTTAGGAGTAAATGAGTCCTGGCTGATCTCATCCTTGGGGCTGCTGTGTCCACCAGGGTTGGAGAGGGAGGGGCGAGAATGAGCGGAGTCGGAGCTCTTCAGCCACCTCTCTGGGTCCTGCACAGCTCTCTGCTTATGCTGGGCTGGGGAACAAGAGATGCAGCCCTCCCTGCCCCCACCCCCACTCCTGACCCCATCATTTCATTAGCCCCTCAGCCCCTGTCTCCCATTAGACACCTGATCTCAGGCAAGTCCTAATTAGCTACAGACCCTATAAAGCTAGAAGTCCCAAGAGGCCTCTCAGCCATCCAAACCCTGACAAGTGTTGCTCACCGCCCTCTAGTGGCTCTACTTGGGAGTAGGGCCCCCAGGGCATCCCCGTCTAGTGTTATTGGCCCTCGATTTCAGCTTCAGTTTGACAAATGTCCTGAGATTTGGGCCCTGATTTCCAAGCTTAGCTTCACAATGCTATCACCTGTGGTCATTTTAAAATACCTGATGCCTAGTTTCTGGAGACATTCTGACTCATTTGGCATTGGGGTGGGACCTAGGCGCCAGAAGTCACCAAGCCCCTTAGGTGACTGATTATACTGTGCAGTGACATTGGGAAGCCACTGAATGGTAGGTAGTGTGTGCAACCATTCCCTTGGGATGTAAGGTCTCTGCCCTCTGGCTCACTCTGCCCCTCTCCTCACAGGCTCACCGACGCTGACAAGAAGCACCTGTGGGAGAAACGCTATTACTGCCACTCCGAGGTGAGCTCACTGCCCCTGGTACTCGCCAGTGCACCCAGCTGGGAGTGGGCTTGCCTGCCCGACATCTATGCTCTCCTGAAGCAGTGGACACACATGAACCACCAGGATGCCCTGGGGCTCCTGCATGCCACGTGAGTTGTAGCTCCTACTTGTCCCAGCCCCAGCACCACCAGCACTGACAAGCCAGCTTGGGGAAAATGGCAACACATGGATTTTCTAGTTTCTTTCTTTCTTTCTTTTTTTTTTTTTTTTTTTTTTTGTTTGTTTGTTTTTTTTTTTGTTTTTCGAGACAGGGTTTCTCTGTGGCTTTGGAGCCTATCCTGGAACTAGCTCTTGTAGACCAGGTTGGTCTCGAACTCACAGAGATCCGCCTGCCTCTGCCTCCTGAGTACTGGGATTAAAGGCGTACTCCACCAACGCCCGGCTCTAGTTTCTTTTTTCTTTGCATTGTTTTTACCCAGTCTAGTACCTGTGAGTACCCCCATATACAAGTTACCTAGATCCCACCACTGCCATTTCGCATACATGCTTTATTAGGTATCTGAGCCCTCTCCTGTGTATCCGTCACACATCATTAAATTGTAAATATTTTGGTGTAATCTTTTTGTTAAACAATTTTGGTTTTTGAGACAGGGTCTCATCATGTAACCCTACCTGGCCTGGAGTTTGTTTTGTAGACCATGCTGGTCTTGAACTCACAGAAATTCAGAGATATGCCTGTCTCTGCTGCCTGCAGAGTGCTGGGATTAAAGGCATGGGCCACCATACTCCAGTTATTAACAGAGCTCAGGCTTCCATTTTTTTTTTTCTTTTGAGGCAAAGTTTACATATAAGATAATGCCCAAACTTCACATAATCATCTATAGTTTCAACAAATGCTTTCCTTTGTATAGCCCAAACTTTTACCACTGAGTTCTAATTTTAACAGTCCTCTCTTAAATCTTTCCACCAAAGAGTTCTTGGGGTCATGGGGCTCCCAGTCTGAGCTGCATTTTCTAGATTGTACCCAGGCTTACCATCTCAGTAATCAAAGTGTACCTGCCTTTGGGACTTTTTGAGGCTACATCTTTGCTAAGCCCTGCAAAACTCATTTCGAAGGCTGTCTACTGGGTTATATAACCCCCCACAGTTCTCTATTGCTTGCCTGGCAGGCTTTGTATTGTAGGATGTTACCAAGAAAACATGCTTCACCCACTCAAGGGTTCCTTCACCTTAGGAATTTCTAGCACAGTGGGAGTTAAGGAAGAGCTTTGGGAGTGGTGTGGAGGACTTTGCTCCATTTTCTTTTAAGTATTTAAGGAATAAGAAAGGCCATTTTCAGCCAGGTGTTGGTGGCGCAAGCCTTTAATCCCAGTACTCCGGAGGCAGAGGCAGGTGGGTCTCTGTGAGTCTGTGCTATCCCACTCAACAGAGACATGGTATGGAGAGAGATCACAGAGAGAGAGTTTACAGAATGAGTTCCGGGACAGGCTCCAAAGCAATACAAAGAAACCCTGTCTCAAAAAACCAAAAGAAAAAAGAAAGGCCATTTTCCTGTTTCCTCCCTGCCCAAGGGAGACTGTTCATGGGGGGTGGATAGGACTATCCCTAAGGACTGCCATCCAAAAGAGATGTGGATCTGGGTGGGGGTTAGGACTTTTCCTTCTCCATGCCTCTGACACCCACACATAAAGTTTGGCAGCTCACATCTGAGTCACAGCCTGCAGTAGCGATTGTCAAGTCTCTGAACTCTTTTGCAGCTTCCCGGACCAGGAGGTGCGGCGGATGGCCGTGCAGTGGATTGGCTCCCTCTCAGATGCAGAACTGCTGGACTACCTGCCCCAGCTAGTACAGGTGTGAGGACTTGCGGTTCCCATGCCCCGAGCCCTACCCTAATCTTTCTATGTCTACCTTCAGCTGCCAGTATCCCAGGGACAGCAGTCAGTGTAGATCTCAGTGCTTAATAAAGCTTCTGTTTGCTTTCTTCTGAACAGGCCCTGAAGTATGAGTGCTACCTGGATAGCCCCTTGGTGCGCTTTCTCCTGAAGCGAGCCATCTCTGACCTGAGAGTGACCCACTACTTCTTCTGGTAAAATCATGTGCAGAAAGAAGGGACGTTGACAGGATCTTGAGTCCAAGAATAGTTCCCCTATGGCAGGCAAGAGTGAGGTGCTAAGAGACCAGGCTCCAGTGTGTTGCTGATCAACCCTGTGGCCTTGGTCTATAGTGTCTTTTCTCAAGGGTGTTTCCATTCACTTCCATGTAACTCAGAGGAGATCATCTAGATCCCCCTTCTCTACCCACCAATGGCAGAAGTATAAAGTCAAGATGAGCTCGGCCAGGCAGTGGTAGTGCACACCATTAATTCCAGCACTGCGGAGGCAGAGGCAGGTGGATTTTTGAGCGAGTTGCAGGACAGGCTCCAAAGCTACACAGAGAAACCTTATGTGTGTGGGGGGGAACAGGCTAAAAAGGGGGGGTGGCTCAAAGACAGTGAAGACATTGTTCAGAGTAGATTTCCCTCTGAGGTTGGGGGTGCACTTTCTGAGTTGGAGCAGAATATAACCCCTTCCTTCCTGGCTCAATGCTGTGGCTCCTGAGTGGCCTGACTCCCCGCTTGCCCTGCCTTGCAGGCTACTGAAGGATAGCCTCAAGGACTCTCAGTTCAGCATCCGCTACCAATACCTGCTGGCAGCCCTGCTATGCTGCTGTGGCAAGGGACTAAGGGAGGAGTTTAACCGCCAGTGCTGGCTTGTCAATACCCTGGCCAAACTGGCCCAGCAGGTCCGAGAGGCCACCCCATCTGCACGCCAGGTAAGTAGGCAAGGTTGTCTCTATTTCTAGGTGAGACCTGCTTAACTAAGAGTTCACTTCTCAGGCATCCTGAACAGCAGAATGGAGAGTGGTTGTCTTTGTTTTAGTAACTAGAAGGAGGTGGCTGTTACCTGCAGGACATAGGCAGATAGTCTCCCAAGCTGGCCACAGCTCATGAATGTGCTTTGTTTGGCTTGTGAAATATTAGAATTTTGACTTAGCTGTTTGCCTTAATGGCTGGGCATACTTGTGTGTGCTGTCCATTGCACGAGCACACTCAACAGGTGAGGTCTAAGGTCCAGTTGGTCACATTTCACTGTGGGAACCATGTCTCAGGGCTGAGACGGGTGGCAGGAAGGGGCACCTTTATCTGTTTGTGGGAAAGCACTATGCCACACCAGCAGTGATTCTGGTTTCTGACATTTAAAACTTGGGAGATCTTTATCTGTAAGTCTGTACAGGCGGCTTCTCTTAGCAAAGCCCAGAAGGACTTACCCCTTTTGATGCCATGTGCCCTCCATTCTAGGCCTGCTTCTTCCCTGCTCCTGGCGGCCTTGCCCCTGTAAAAACTCAGGTGCACTTCTTGTGCACTGAGCAAGTCTGGGACCCAAGTGGGTGACTGTCCTTCCCAAGAGTTTCTCCGAAGTTGTCCGTTATTTAGGCACATGACTAGGCCCCTTCCTCTGGGAGGTAGATGCCTGGCTCTCAGTGGAGGCTCTGGGCCTCTCACCTCATCCCTGCTTTTCCCCACTCCCTCTGAAGGGCATCCTTCGAAATGGCTTGGAGGAGGTGAGGCAGTTCTTTGCCCTCAATGGTTCGTGCCGTCTGCCACTTAGCCCCAGTCTGCTGGTGAAGGGTATCGTGCCCAGGGTAAGTCACTGCTAGGTGTAGAACTTCAAAGAATAGAGAACACTTGGAGAGGTGAGGGTCTCCTTACCCTGTCTTAGGAGAGGAGGGAGGAGGGCAAACAAGTTGGCTCTTTCAGCTTGATTGTGTGGACTTGGCCGACAACTGTAACTGTGGGTAGGGCAGAAGAACTGAGTCAGAGGTTGGGTCTCCTGGGAGGTAGATGTTGAGGAAGAAGCTGGGGAGGTTGGTGATGATGGCAGCTCTTAGCCGACTGCCTTGACTCACCGTCCAGCACGGGTCTTTGGTTGGTTGTTTGATTCCATCCTCAAACTCTTTGGCACAAGGTACTATTATAGAAGTATAGGACATGGGATTTACTAGAAGTCACAAACTAGTAAGCTGTTACTCAGTGAGGGGAAGAGAGTGGGTAATCAGATGTTAGAGCCATGGTTCTAGCAACCTACGCCAGGAAGAGAGAAGCAAGGAAAGGGATGTGGACTTTGGGTTCCTGGGAAATCTGGAAGAAGGTAGACAGCGTCTTGATCCAACATGAAGAGGTCATTTTCCTTCCTGGGTGTGGACCACCCTGACATTAATCATCGCCCTCTCTACTGTATATACAGGACTGTTCCTACTTCAATTCCAACGCAGTCCCCCTCAAACTCGCCTTCCAAAATGTGGATCCCCTGGGCGAGAACATCCGGGTCATCTTCAAGGTGAGAATGCTTTATTCAGCGGGTGTGATGGCATATGTCCGAAATCTCAGCACTTAAGAGACTGAGGCAGAGGCAAGCCTAGGCTATGTAGTGACCTCCAGGCTAGGCTGGGCTGGATATTGACACTTTCCAAAAGCAAAACAAAGCAAACCTCTCTTGGAAAAAAAACAAAGACAAAACCAATACTTTAGTCATGCCTAGTAGGAGTGAAAACAGTAGAGAGAAGAGAATGTTCAAGACTGAGGAAAGGCCTGAACTGTTCCTGTTTTCCTCTTCTCCTCCCTTCTCCTCTTCCATCCACCCCCCCCCCCCCCCCCGGGCTGGGGATTGAGCCTAGGGCCCTGAGCATACTAGACAATGACTCTACCACTGAGCCCTGAGCATACTAGACAATGACTCTACCACTGAGCCCTGAGTATACTAGACAATGACTCTACCACTGAGCCCTGAGCTTACTAGACAATGACTCTACCACTGGACCCTGAGCATACTAGACAATGACTCTACCATTGAGCCCTGAGCATACTAGACAATGACTCTACCACTGAGCCCTGAGCATACTAGACAATGACTCTACCACTCAGCCACATCTCTAGTCCACTCCTGCTACTTTTTTAATATTGAAAAGACTATGAGGTAAAAAGGGATTTTGATAAATTCTGCATGGCCCCAGAAGGCTAAGAGCAGTGTTAGGAGAAACAGAGGCAATTGATAACTCAGAATATGGAAGCACTTTCTGGGAGGCAGGGCTGCTTCCACAATGCCACGGGTAAGGTGATGATCATATTCTAGTAGAGGATGTGGCTGGCTGCTGGAGAACTTATAGGAGGTGCTCGTTCAACTAGATGAACCTCATGTTTTCCCTCTGACTGGCTCCTCCGAGGTAGTGAGAAAGAAGTAAATGAGAGTCTCAGAGTATATGGGGGGGGGGGGGCAGCACAAACCTACCTGGAGCTCAGGGATAGAATGTGTGCTTAGCATTCACGGCACTCTCGGTTCAAGTTTTAGCATTCAAAAAGTAAAGAAAAGGTACTCTATGACTAGAACCTTACAGCACAAGTTTGCTGTATACTATACTTAGTTTCTGATCTGGTGTAAACAGTCAAGTTTTTAAAAGGCCTGGTGAACCAGACATAATGATATGTATCTATAATCTCGCACTCACCAGCTGAGGTAGGAAGGCTGCTGCTCAAAACCTGGGCTGCACAGAAAGACCTTGTCTCAAACAAACAGGCCTGTTGATCAGGGGGGTTTCTTGCAGAAAAGGAAGCATAATTCAGTTCAGATGGGGATGCAGCAATGGCAGGGGAAGAGAGAGGTTGTGGCGGGGGTGGGGGGGGGCAGTAAAGGGCAAACTGCAGCGATCTGTGTCCTCTCTCTTGCTCCTTGACCTTGTGTGGGCCAGATCAACAGATGAGTGACAGCTAAGCCGGAGAACTGCAGCTTCTCCCTGCCACTGTAGAGTGGATGCTGTGGGGTCTGGGTGCCAGGGAGAGGCTGTGGATATGGGTTTTAATCGCTCTTCTTCCTGTCCAGTGCGGGGACGACCTTCGCCAGGACATGCTCACCTTGCAGATGATTCGAATCATGAGCAAGATCTGGGTGCAGGAGGGGCTGGATATGCGCATGGTCATTTTCCGCTGCTTCTCCACCGGCCGAGGGAGAGGTCAGTGGGGAGTCGGGCTGGGCATCCTTTCCCTCACTGCCCTTCTGCTCGTTTCCCAACGTGAACAATGGAGAATAGAAGGGCAGGATTGTTCCATGAGAAGATGTGGGGTGACTTGAAAAAGGGAAAGCAAGGGAGAGACTGTTGCAAAACAAAACAGACTTGGAGGCATAGCAACCTCTGTGGACTTTGGATCTTGATCAAACAAACCAATTGTAGTTTTGAGATGGCTGTAAGAAATTTTAAAATAGGCTGGCTTCAAGGGCCACTGTTAAGTTTTTTTGGATGTGACAAGTACATGGTTATTATGCCCTTTTAAAATATGATTAACAAGTATTTATTGCATGAGACGGCATGTCTAAAGCAGAGGGTGGTGACAATGCATCTGTCATCCCAGCTCTCAGATGAGGTAAGTGGATCAGAAAGTTCGAGGCCGGCTTGGGCTACAGAGTGAGACCCTGTCTTCCTTTGCAATCCTGAAGCTGGAACAGCAGGAAGTAGGAGGCTAATTGGGTAATGGAAAATAAAATGAAATTAGCAAATTGTTGATGATTGTTGAATCTGGGTGAGGATTACATGAGAATTGAGTAAAAAACCCTGTATATATTTTAAGAGTTCCATAGTAAAGTTTGAAAAGAAAAAAAAATTATGACCTGGGAAGCCTAGAGCCAGTCTAGAATATGTGATGTGGGTGTGGTCTTCTTTCCATCACCCATCATGTAGTCCTCCTACTGATAGACTTTGTCCAAAGGCCCTGGGGCATGTAGCCCAGCCAAGATAGACTTCCTCACTCTGTTCAAAAGCATGAGTCTGACCCATTCTCTCTCAGGGATGGTAGAGATGATACCCAACGCTGAGACACTGCGCAAGATCCAGGTGGAGCACGGGGTGACTGGCTCCTTCAAGGACCGCCCCCTGGCTGACTGGCTACAGAAACACAACCCTGGAGAGGATGAATATGAAAAGGTAGGATTGGGGGATTCAGGAGCCCAAAGCTGGGGCAGTGTGCCTGTCTGTGGCATGGGGCTCTGCTACCACCAGACCTGCATGTACACAGATGAGCCAGCTCAGCTTTGCTGAAGGACGAGCTCATTGTGGACTGATGCATCTGTGTAGCTAGAGATGGGTCAGATGACTATTGTAAATTAGCAGTAACTTTTGGTATTGGTCAGAGAACCTTCCTTGGATCTTATGGGTGGGGGCAGCTTATGAGAGCTTGCTGTCCTCTTTGTGGATCCTAGCAAGTTCCCCTTGTATTCTCAGAGGGATTCAGTGATGCTGCATAGAATTTGAGATGGCAAGAAGAGGCTTTGAATATCATTTTAACAGCCCCCACCGTGTGTGTGTGTGTGTGTGTGTGTGTGTGTGTGTGTGTGTGTGTGTGTGTGTGTATGAGTCAGGTGTATCCTTTGCTCCAAGCAGTGGAGCTGGTATGCAAGACTGTAACTTGAAGCCAAGATTGAGGCTAGTGAGGAGACTGACATGAGAGCAAAGAGGCCCAGCTGGCCCCTGACTAGAGGAAAGAAAGTGAGCTAGCTTCCAGGGATTGCAGGGCCTTGGTGGTCTGTTATTATCCATGGCCAGTCCACAGCTTCATGACTGTAGTCCTTGGATTAATGAGAGTGAAAAGGGACAGGTTATGATAAAAATGTCAGAATGTGGGACACACTTTCAATCCCAGCACCCAGGAGGCAGGGACAGGTAGATCTCTTGAGTTCCAAGCCAGGGCTACATAGTGAGACTGTCTCAAAACCAAACAGACAAATGCCAGAATGTTAATTCCTATAAGGCTTGCTTCAAGAGAATATAAATACTAATTCAGGTTGATCAATACATTTTACTCCTGAAGGAAGACATGCAAGCGGCCAAATTATAACCAGAATGTGCCTGGTGGATGAGAGATCGGTGGTCTTAAATGGCCCTAATAAGTTTGTGGTCCCCAGGGTTTAATCCCTAGCTCCTGCGCGTTCTGGCTAACACACTCTTGACTGACATGCCCTCTGTTATACCTTCTATCCCTATTCATGAATTGAGGACTCCAAAGCCCTTCTTGTAGCCCCTTCCCCCCTGCCGCTTAAGCCTCTGTAGCACTGGCTGCCTGGATTCCTCAACTGCATCTCTGCTCAATGGAGGTGAAGCTGAGTTTCCTGTCTCTCCTCACCTCCGGAGACCTGCTTATTTTATGTTTCCTACCAGTAAATGTAGGATGCTGCTATCACCCAAACCAGAGCCACCAGTTTCATGGGGTTCCTCTGCCTGGTTTAGGGGACTTTTTAAGTCCACAGCCATTCGTATCACACATTTGCTCTGGGTTCTTCAGAGGCTCCTACCAGATAAGTCCAACATTGACATCACAGCCTGGCCTACCTCAGTCTTACGCCCTGCTCACTTAGGCTCCGGAGCAGGGGATACTTGCTTATGTCTAGTACCTTTAGATGATAGTACCCTCTGGCCTAGAAAGCCATTTCCTCTTCTTCAGCATCAAAAACTGCTCCTTCTACCTCATGAGACTCAACTTTGGAGAGGACTATTGCTTCTTCTCTCCCTCCTCCAAATCCATATGCTATTTATGCAACCTGTTTTTTTTTTTCAGGTGTCGAACGCCTCCCATAACAAGCTCTGTGCTAGGTGTTGGAATTGTAATTACTCTATGCCAGTGTACTAGCAAGTCGTACTAAACGTGGAAGTGTCTACAACAAGCAGGAACATATCTGAAAGCTAACTTTGTTCATTTTTTTTTCCCTTTTGGTTTTTGAGACAGGACCTCACTCTGTAGCATAGCTCAGGCAGGTCTGAAACTCACAATCCTCCTGCCTCAGCTTCCTGAATGCTGGGATTGTAGGAGTGAGGCACAGTGCTAGTAGTTTCTTATGGTAATGCCTAGAAGAAAAGAGCGTGACCATCCTAAGTAAAAGACACCCATATTTCATCAGTGAGACCCTCAAGTTAGGAGGAGGGTCCTGCAGTGATTGAGGTTCATACCTGCCCAACTCAGGGAGGAACGGGGAGGGGTGTTGTCATTGCTGGTTGGTACAGGTTTTGTGATCTGCAGAGACCTTATCTAAGATATAAAGAATACCTATAACAGAGGCAAGTTATTGGAGATGTTAAGTCAAAACTGGGATTGAATGAGCTATGCTCCTTTCCAAGTGGTTTCTTTTCACTCACAGATTTTTTGCTTTCTAAGAAATGGTCTTTCCCTTAAAGAAGCCTGAGTCCTTTGATATCTGTTTGGGTTTTTTTTTTTTTGGTAGGATTTTATTTGTTATGTATACAACATTCTGCTTCCATGTATATCTGCACACCAGAAGAGGGCACCAGATCTCATTACAGATGGTTGTGAGCCACCATGTAGTTGTTGGGAATTGCACTCAGCTGGTGCTCTTAACCTCTGAGCTATCTCTCCAGGCCTGATATCTGGTTTTTTGAGATGAAATGTCACTACGTAGCTCTGGCTGGCCTGGAACTCATTATGTAGACCAAACCACCCTAAAATTCACAGAGACTTGCCTCTGCCTCCCAAGTGCCACAATGCCTGGTCCCCCTCCTTTTTGTGTTTGTGCATGAACATGAGTGGGGTAAGTGCACACACCTGTGGGTGTGCATGCTAAGACCCAAGCAGGGTATCAAGGGTCTTTCTCTGTCACTCTGTACTTTTCTGTCTTTAGGTAGGGTCTGTTGAGGAACTGGGAGCTTGCTGTTTGGCTAGGCTGGCTGGTCAGTGAGCTCTCAGATTCTGTCTGTGCCCCCCCCCCCACAAACATTGGGGTTATAGACAGGTACAGCTACACCTAGCTTTTTACATTGATACTGGGGATTCCAACTCAGGACCTCACAAGTGCTCTTACCCCAGCCCCTCCCACCCCTTGAGCCCCAAAATATCTCCAACACATTTTACCAAATAAGAGATGTCTGATTTTCAAGTGTAAAACAGTGCAGCAAGTGTGAAGCTGTCTCAGCTCTCCTTTGGAATGCAGTGATTTTGATTAGGTAAGCATTTAGCTGATATCAAGCACTCTGGAATGGAGAGTTATTTGGGACAGGAAGAAGGGTGCATGAAGAAGGGTCATGTACCAGGATTTTTGGGGGGTTCACCAACCAGCTCTCAAGTCATGACACCAAGACTTATTATTGAATGCACGGCCTAGCTTAGGCACATTTCTGGCTAGCTCTTGTAACTTAAATTAACCTGTTTATCTTTATCTACCTTTTGCCTTGGGGCTTATTACTTACTTCTGTATATCTTACTTTTGCTGCTTCTTTATGTCTGGCTGACAGCTGCCTGGCTTCTTGCCCTAGGTGTGTCCTTCATTCTCTCCTTCTCCTTCTCTCATGCCCTTCTCTTTCCTCCTATTTATTCTCTCTGCCTGGTAGCCCCACCTATCTCTCTCTCTCTCTCTCTATATATATATATATATAGGCTATTCAGACCAATCAGGTGCCTTAGGCAGGCAAGGTGAAACAAATGCAACACATCTTTACATAATTAAACACCCATCCTTACATCATTAAACAAATACAGCGTAAATGAAAGCAACACACCTTGACACAGTTAATATTAAGCAGCACAAACAAATGAAATACATCTTTGCCTAGTTAGTATAATATTCTACAACAGGGTCAGGTGCCCTTGGTTCCGATACTCAGTAGCCAGACTTGAGTCAGGGTTATCGTGACCTGTTGGAAAAGTTTTAAGCACCAGCCTTTCTGTCCATTAAGGTCTCCCAACTGAAAGTCACATGCCCACTGTCTTTCTAGCGCCCCCCCCACTACAAAACACATTCATAAGGAGGGTATATATAGACATAAACTCCCATCTCCTACTTCAGAATGCCGGACGATGGGAGATGTTTCTGTGTATATAATCCTGTGCTGTGGTCATGATGAGGAGCAGGCAGGTGCTGGGTGCTGCTAGAGTTCACATGAGAGAGGAAGGTCAGGGCTGGCTGCCTGTGGCCCCACCACCTGCCTCCACTCTCACAGGCTGTGGAGAACTTCATCTACTCCTGTGCTGGCTGCTGTGTGGCTACATACATCCTGGGCATCTGTGACAGACACAATGACAACATCATGCTGAAGACCACCGGACACATGTTCCATATAGATTTTGGCCGCTTCCTGGGCCACGCGCAGATGTTTGGCAATATCAAGAGGTGAGTGGTCTCCCGTATGGAGGGTGAGAGTGGCTCAGAGCTGGGCCACTGAAGCAGAAGGCCTCAGAGTGCTGAGAAGAGAGACCAGATGATCACATGACGAGGGGTTGAGGGCTGAGCTAAAGGATAGCTAGGCACCTGAGCTTCAGCAGGGAACCCAATTGGGTAGCTGGGAGAAAGTGTTACTAGCTCACAGGTCAGAACACGTGATGGGGGTGGAGGAAAACAGCCCCTGGTGGAGCTCACAAGGGGCCCTTCCTTCTCCATATTGACCTTCTACCTATATGTTCCCTTGGCCCAGGGACCGTGCCCCCTTTGTCTTCACCTCGGACATGGCGTATGTCATCAACGGGGGTGACAAGCCTTCCAGCCGGTTCCATGATTTTGTTGACCTTTGCTGCCAAGCCTACAACCTCATCCGCAAGCACACCCACCTCTTCCTCAACCTTCTGGGCCTGGTGAGGAGCTCATCTCTTTTGACCCTCCTTCTTATTACCTGGCTCCATCTTTAAGACTGTCCCGGATTGTTCCAGAGGTTTCCTGAAGATCCAGTTGTGTTACCTGTCTTTCCTAAAGGCAGGGGCCCAAACTACTAGGAACAGTGATGCCTGACCCCCTCATGTAGCCTTCAGTCCCTGTGGCCCTGTAACCACTACCCACATAATCTGCCTATAACTACAAAAGATGATGGGGAGCCTAGTACAGAAAATCTTACCTCAGGGTAGATAGGAAGCCATGCTTGGCTCTTGTTACAGGCAGCCCCTCCTTTCTTCTAGATGTTGTCCTGTGGAATCCCTGAGCTCTCCGACCTGGAGGACCTCAAGTATGTGTATGATGCCCTGAGGCCTCAGGACACAGAGGCCAATGCCACCACATACTTCACAAGGTAACACACAGCGCAAACCACACCCAAGTAGTCCATAGACTGCTAGGTTCGATGGAGCAGGCTGAGCAGTGGGAAAGGCTTAGCCCAAATGGCAGGGCCAGGACTTAGGTCTCTAGCCCAGTTTTGCCTTGGTAATCATTTTGCTCCTGTCTGAATTCTGGGGCTAATATGTATAAGTAGGGTTCTCTCTCTTTTTCTCTTCTTTTTTTGGGGGGGTGTGGTCAAGAAAAAAGAGTTCCTCTGTGTAGCCCTGGCTGTCCTAGATTCACTCTACAGACCAGGCTGGCCTTGAACTCAGAGATCTGCCTACCTTTGCACCCCAATCGCTGGGATCAAAGGTGTGCACCACCGCACCCAGTTTATGATATTTTTTTAGCTCTTTTGGTCAGACCCTTCTGCTTTCACAGGACATGGCTTAGTTTGAGTGGTGCTTGGTGTGGTCCTGGGATTCCATTTGCTAGTACTATTGAGACATTTGCTGTCCCAAATTCCCTCCTACCCTGCTTTGAGTATCTTTGGCAGGAGGCATAAGAACTCAGGATTCACAAACACAAACTGTATGAGGTAATTGTGTCAATCATGTGCTCTGTGAGAGTATTACATTGGGAACATAATTCAATCTGGTGGTTAATTTCGGGGATCATGGTTGCACACACTGTAATCCTAGCACTTAGGAGGCTTGAAACAGGAAGATCACCGTGAGTTTGAGGCCAGCCTGGGTGACATAGTGAGATCCTGACTACCCCCACCTCACCCTATCCCCTACAAATCTCAGCACTTGGGGAATATCTGTCAAGGCAGAGGGTTGGGTCCACAGTTACAACCTTTGTTTCCCATTCTGCACAAACAGGTTGATTGAGTCCAGCCTGGGCAGCGTAGCCACGAAACTCAACTTCTTCATCCATAACCTGGCTCAGATGAAGTTCACAGGCTCAGATGATCGGCTGACCCTTTCCTTCGCGCCCCGAACACATACTCTCAAGAGCTCTGGCCACATCACTGATGTTTTTCTCTGCCGTCGTGAGAAAGTTTTCCACCCCAGCAAGGGCTATGTAAGGGTTTGCTCCTCTCTGACCCTCATTGCTTCCTGTCTACCCATCTTCTTGGCGTTAACTCTTTCCTCACATCTGTATGGTGGTCCCTAGAATTTACCAAGACTCTTGCATTGGAAATAATCCCAGACAGATCAGTTCCTTCTCTTAAGGGACTTGCATAGGCCCAGGGAGCTGAACTGGTTTGTCATTCTGTGAGCCACATGTCCTGTGAGGAAGGCCCTGCCTGTGTGCAGCCTACCCTCTTTTCTCCACTGGAGGCTCTTCTGAGACCTTTATCCTCCTGGAAAGCACTACACACACATGCATGCACGCACGCGCGCGCGCGCACCCACCCACCCCCCCACCCCCCCCCACACACACACACACACACACACACAATAGTAAGCAGATGGTCAGGCAGGTGTACTCTGTTTTGGCCTTCGTAGATATATGTGGTGAAGGTGATGCGAGAGAATGCTCATGAGGCAACTTACATCCAGAGGACCTTTGAGGAGTTCCAGGAACTACACAATAAGCTGCGCCTGCTCTTCCCGTCTTCCTTCCTGCCCAGGTATCCCCCGCCCCCAATTCCCTTGAGCTAAAAGACACAGGAGAGGAGAAAGCATAAAGCTAGCAGGACTGTGTGTGGGGGAGGAGGAGGCACGGAGCTAGCAGGACTGTGTTTCATAAAGGACCATTTGAAACCGAGGCTCTTCCTGCTTCACCCTGCGTGGGAGTGTGTTTGGTGACAAGAGCTCCCCCTGCTGGTTGTTATTGCCAGACATCCCAACAGCCTTGCTCTAGCCTTGGGGGAAAACAAAACACGGGAGCACTAGCTGGAAAGAAAGCCAGCTGAGCTGCAAGTGGGCACTGGGAAAATCTGAACATGGCTCATTATAATTTGTCAAAGAATTATACCATTTTTCTAATGGATAAAGTGTGATACACACACATTAGGACCTTTGACACCTACATCATGAATGAGCCTAACTGAAATGTGCTAGTCACAAGAAGATTAAAAAAAAGATATGATCCTACTTATTGGAGTGCCCTAGAGTAGTCAGAGTCTGGTGACGTTTCTGCAGCACTGTGAATGTTATCAGTGCCACAGAACTGTACCCAACAGACTTGGTTTTTCAAGACAGGGTTTCTCTGTGGCTTTGGAGGCTGTGCTGGAAGTAGTTCTTGTAGAACAGGCTGGTCTTGAACTCACAGAGTTCTGCCTCCCTCTGCCTCCCTCTGCCTCCCTAGTGCTGGGATTAAAGGTGTGTGCCACCACCACCCACAAGTCTTTAAATGCTTGATAATTAAAATGCTGGGATTGTCTGGGGTCCCAGGAAGTAAGTGTGTGTGTGTGTGTGTGTGTGTGTGTGTGTGTGTGTGTAAAGAGAGACAGAGACAGAAACAGACCAACCCAGACACAGACATGAAGTCGGGTAGGAGTCAGGGAGGCAAGGGTCCCCCAGAGGAGAAGCAGCTGGGAACTGAGGATCAGGTAAATAGAAATGCAAATGAAATGTCTAAAAATCTTCACATTCTCTCCCCATCCTGTATCCCTTGTCTGCCTGTCATCCAGCTTTCCTAGTCGCTTTGTGATTGGCCGCTCCCGGGGAGAGGCAGTGGCTGAGCGGAGGAAAGAGGAACTAAATGGCTACATCTGGCACTTGATTCATGCAGCCCCAGAGGTGGCTGAGGTGAGAGAGCCAGTAGAGGATGCGAGAGGGCAGGACCTCTGTGGGGGGTGTGTCTGTCTGCCTGGTGAATGACTCTACTGAGGGTTAGAGAGCACAGGGCCATGGTGGATGGGGCCTCAGGCCCATGTTTTGTTTTCATTTCCCTTGCTTGTTAGAAACATTCTCTTATCTTGCTCTCCTCTATTCTTCCCCCGACTCAACCTTCCTGCCCCCTCATGTCCTCCTCTCCCCTCCTGTTCTCTCCAGAGAAAGGCGTGTGTTTCAGTTCCAGGCTAATTCAGTCCTATCTCCCCAAGGTAGTGTGTTGATAGGGGACTAGTAAAACAGGAGTAGACTAGAATAGACTGCTTTTGGCCTGAAGTGGCCTGTTTTGTTTATTTTTTAATTGACTTATTTTGGTTTTTGAGATGTGGTCTCACTCTAAGAACTTATTTTGCAGACCAGGCTAGCCTTGAACTTGTAACAGTCTTCTTCCTTCTGTTTCTTGATTGCTGAGATTACAGGAATTTGTTCCCCAACCCACCATTTAATCGTTGGCTATTTTCTCTTAAAAAAAAAAAAAGTGTGTGTGTGTGTGTACATATAATTAGCCCTTCCTGGGTCATGACTTACTGAAGAGTGGCCCCACTTTCTGGTCTGTTCCAGTGTGATCTAGTATATACCTTCTTCCACCCCCTGCCTCGGGATGAAAAGGCTTCAGGCACCAGCCCAGCTCCAAAGTCCTCAGGTACAGTACCTTCCTGGTGGCAGTCCCGCCAAAACACATCCCCACCTCTTTGTCAGCTTCCTTTCCTGTTCAGTTGCTTACTTGCTGGGGACTCTGGTGTTTCATTCAGGCTGCAATGTCCACGGCTCTATGGCTGAGTTCCCTAGGGGATGGATATTTATTTAGTGATAACACCCCTCAGATTGGGTACACTTATCCCAACCCAACTGGATGTTACATTCCACACCACATGGTATCAGAAATCTGACAGGCTGGGGCAGGACTTAGGAAGGAAGTAGAAATGCCTGCCTGGCACCAGTCAGGGACACTTCTGCTGGCCTGTGGATCTTTCTCAGTTTCCTTTATCCCTACAGATGGGACATGGGCCCGGCCCATTGGGAAGGTCGGTGGGGAGGTGAAGCTGTCCATCTCCTACAAAAACAACAAACTCTTCATCATGGTGATGTATATTCGGGGCTTGGTAAGTGCAGGCCCAGCCCTCATTGGTGCCTTCATCTTTCTGCTGGTAGTTTCTGGGTGAGTCAGACCTTCTCTGCTCCCGGATGATAAGAGTAACCACAGATGTTTACCTAGCCACTACCACAGGCTGCCCATGCCAGGCCTGTGGCTGACCAGGATTCAAGGCATAGCTGCTTGCTTGCTGTGGTCTATGCAATGGTGTCCTGAGTACTGTGAGCCTCTTTATAAGATGACTTGGTGCCTCCCTCCAAGGGTTGCTGTGGGGATGAACTAAGATAATCCATGGGATGCACTTGCCTTTCTGAGTAGTACTGTTGCTATGGTAATTATGGTTTTATAAAAGAGAGGCCTGGGGGCTTACTATCTAGTAATAGTAATGGATAAATATAGATATGTGAGTCTAGACAAGGCAGGACTTCCTTCAGGCATATTCAAGGTGGTATGTAATTAATTTTGGCACAGGTTCTAAGAACATCATGAATGGGAGAGGAACTTTTGTTGAACATTTATAATGCGTAGCATCCCATGTTACTTATTTTGAAGATTGGAGCACCAAGTCATAGCAGAAATGTGTACTTCGGAGTCAAAGAAACCTTGATTTCATGTTCACATTCTTTTAGCACTTACTCATTCAACAAATGTTATCTAGTGCCTACCAATACATTAGCCCGTAATACAGGAGAAGTCAAAATGCACCTGTGCCCAGGGTGCTTGCTTACAGTTTGCTTGGAAAGGGCCGACTGTAAAATAGACAAGGAAAATAAATGATATGTCAATGGGCTGAGAGCCTATAAAAAAAAAGAAGCAGAGGAATCCAGGAGGAAAGACAAGGCTGGCATTTGCATTAGGGGTAAAGGAGGCCTCAGTGATGAAATCTGTACAAACACCTAAGGAAGGAAGCCCCTTGTGTGAATCTGAGAGAGGATTGCTTCAGACATGGGGAGCAGTTAGGTCTAAAAGCCCAAACTCCAGGAGAAAGGGGAGGTCAGGGGGGTGTTATCAGGAACTACTTATTTCCCATTGGCTACAGCCCAGGGTGAAGAGTACAGGAACCAATGGGCACATAGTAAGGCTTTGGCTTCAGTCTTTAGTGGTCTTTGGATAAATGTGCTGTGTTCTTATTTAAGTGCCGGGGGGATGGGCCTTTTAGTTTACTTCTTTATTTTTGTGAGACAGGCTCTCAGTCTAGCCCAAGCTAGCCTGGAACTGGAACTCAATATGTAGCCCAGCTGGCCTTGATAACAAGACAGTCCTCCTGACTCAGCCTCCCGAGTCCTAGGGTTCCAGGCATGAAATGCAATCTCAGCTTTGACTTAAGTATGAGTTTGGAGACGATGGATTGGTTGGACCCAGGTTCTAAGAACAGAGTCAACCTGAGTGAAGCAGGAGTCAGTAGACTTTGAACAAGTAACCTCTTTTCTATGACTCATTATCTCTACCTGTTAGGGCTTAAAAGGGACCAAATGACAAAATAGCATGGAGAAGAGATGCCTGGAGAGACTTGATGTTCACTTAAAACTATATTACAAGCCAAGCACAATGATACATTCCTTTAATCTCAGCACTCAGGAGGCAGAGGCAGGTAGATAGATCTCTGTGAGTTTAAGTTTAGCCTGGTCTATATAGTGAGCTCTAGGATAGCCAGGGCTATGTAGAGAGACCCTGTCTCAAAAAATTAAAACTAAAAAATTATGTGTGTGAGTGTGTATTTAATGGAATCATGGTAGATCTTTTTTATCAGCATGTAATGAGCTGGAAAGCAGATAAAAAGATTAGGTATGCACCACAAAAAGGCAGAGGGTGAATGAGAGAGAATCTAGATCAGAGTATGGCTTCAGGGATGCCTAGAAAGTGGACGATACTGTGGGATCTTCATCTTTTGTTTCATTCCATTGTAGCAGCCGCTCCAAGATGGGAATGACCCTGATCCCTATGTAAAGATTTACCTCCTTCCTGACCCTCAGAAGACCACAAAGAGGAAAACGAAAGTGGCCCGGAAAACCTGTAACCCTACCTACAATGAGATGGTATGTGGAAAATGGGTTGCAGGGGCTGTGAGCAGGAGTGGGGGCAGGAAAGCACAGGGGTTGACAAACTGATTATTTATTTTGAGTGTTTTGTAACTGAGGCTGGCCTCAAATTCCTGATCCTCCTGCCACCACCTCCTGAGTCCTGGGATTCTAGATGTGAGCCATACAACAACACCTGCCATGTGAGTGCTGGGAATTGAACCTGGTCCTCTGAAGGAGCAGCCAGTGCTTTTTTTTTTTTTTTTTTTTTTTTTTTTTTTTTTAAGAAGGGTTTCTTTTTCTCTGTGTAGCTCTGGATGTCTTCAAACTCACTTTATAAACTGGGCGTTGGTGGTGCACCCCTTTAATCCCAACACTTGGGATACAGCTGATCTCTGTGAGTTTGAGGCCATCCTGATGTACAGAGCGAGTGCCAGGAGCTCCCCCACCAACCCCCCCAAAAAAAAGAAAGAAAAGAAACTCAGTTCAGGCTGGCCTTGAACTCACAGAGATACCTCTCTCTGCCTCCTAAAATGCTGGGATTAAAGGCATACACCACCATGCTTGGGCAATAGCCACTGCTTTTTAACCCCTGAGCCATCTCTCCAGCCCAACAGCAAGCACTCTTAACCACTGAGGTGTTTATTGAGCCACCATTGTACTTATAAAGCC